CGCCGAGGCCAAGCGCAACCGCGACAACGGCGCAGAGGGGCGTCGGCGGCGGCGGCGGACGAGGCGGCGACGGGGCAAGGGGCGCCACCGCAGAGGACGGGCTGCCAAGGCCAACGGCAAGGGCAAGGACAAGGACAAGGTCGATGGCGCCGGCGCTGGGCAAAAGAAGAAGGACAAAAAGGGCCAGCCGCAGGACGATGCCGACGGCGACAAGGCGGCCGACGACGAGCTGGACCACAACACGCGGCTGATGGTTTACGTCATCAAGCAGGCGCCGATGCGCTTCAACCACGCCGTGCTGATGCTCAACTCGTTTGGCCTGCAGCAGTCGCTCGACCACGGCCGCGGACCCTCGGCCGACAAGGCGCAGTGTGAGTGGCCGACGGGCCGAGGCGTGACCAAGTCCGTGCCAGACGGACCGCACTGACATTAGCCCCGCCCTCTGCCTCGTGCCCCGACAGACTTTGCCAAGTGCCTCGAGGCCGCCAGGACGATTGTCATCACGGCCCGCGACGACCTGCGCGAGGAATTCCGCTACGCCCTCGACAGCCAGTTTACCACGGTCGCTTACGCCTGCGTCTTTCTCCTCAAGGTGAGTTGGCGATGGCCCTGGCCGGCACCTTTTTGCTAAAGGGGGCGAGGCTCGCTGACGCCTGGTCGACCGTCCTTCGTTTCGCCCTTGCCCGCGCCCCTGGCACCCGCCGCGACCGCCGTGCAGCTGACGCGCCCGGTGTTTGCGAGCTATGCCAACGAGGACACGCTCGTCTCGCTGGTCGAGGACGCGGTGGAGCTGCTCGAGGAGGTGGCGGTCAACGACACGCACAGCCCCGCCCTGTACGCGCAGTTCCTGCGGGCGCTTCTGCAGGCGCGGACCGACCACACGAGCGGCTCCAAGAGCGGCGTCGCCTCGCGCTCGCAGTCGCGCGCCGTGACGCCCAACGCCGAGGGCCACGCCGGCGGCGGCATGACGGTCGAGGCTGCTCTGGGCGCTGCCGCCGAGCGAGCGTCGCACGAGCTCAATGGGCAGGGGGCCGCGGGCGGCAGTGGAGGTCAAGGGGCTGCCCCGGGCGCCCCTGCCACGGCTGCTGCCGCCGCTGCTGTCGGTGCCGGCGTTGGGGGCGACGGCATGGGCGGCCACTCGCAGTCGCTGGATCCGAGCCTGGATCCTGGCATGCCGGTGGACCCGTCGCTTGCGCCGACGTCTGCGCCGACGCCGTGGGACCCGCTGCACCTGGCCGCTGCTGGCGTCGCTGGACCGGCTGCGGCCGTGACGGCGGGGATGGAGGACTTTTGGGGCAGCCTGCTTCCGCCGGGTTTCGCGCAGCCGGCGATGCAGGACGTGTTCGCATCGGCGGGCGACACGTTTGGGATGGGGGCGGCGAGCGCGGCCAACGGCGAGGCGCAGGCGCAGTCCAAGTTTGGCATGGGGGGCCACTTTTTCGACTTTGGCACCATCCCCAATGGCAACGGGGGCGCGCCGAGCGGGCTCAATACGCCGCACGCGGCGCGCAGCGGGGCCAATACGCCGCACCACGACCGCAGCCGGCGCAACTCGCACTCGCTCTTCAACAACCTGTCGCACGTCCAGTTTGACTTTAACCACTAGCGGGTGGCGGCGAAGGTAGTAGTAGTGTGATGGAGGATGGGTTACGGGCGGTGCTCTTTTCAATGCCATTCGCTTGCCCTTGCCCCATCGTCTCTATCTGTTTGCTGTCGCCATGTCTGGACTGAGTCTGGCCCGTAGCTCTGGCTGGGTGTGGCGTGTGGCGTGTGGCGTCGCGGCCCAGAGCGTCTGCTCGAGCCAAGTCTAGGTTGCGTTGTCGTGGCTGAGCGACCAAGCCTGAAAGGCGGGAGGGGCAGACGAGAGTTTCCATGTATGATTCGGCACCGCGAAGTCGGGCACGAGGGTTAAGGCTAGGATTGCAGGCCAGGGTGCAGGCCAGGGTGCAGGGGCGGTGACGGTGAGGCCAGAGTGGCAAGCAGGCGGGACGTTGGGCTTCGGCGACAACGCCGGAATTTCGAACCCGGGGCCGCGAGAATTGATTTGGGCGACGCAAAGAGGCTGGGCCTTGGCCTACCTAGCACGACGCACGCGGGCACGCCGGGGTTCTGCCCGTCCCGGCCTCTCTGTTGATCCCTGCCCTGCGGCGGCCAGGCCTGGCCTGTCATGGTGGAGCTTGGGGAGATGGCAATGACAACGATGACTGCACCACGACGAGGTGAGAGGAGGCTAGGCAGGTGATGAGGTCCATGGATGGAAGGATGACGAGCGCAGCCTGGCCTATCCCTGGGCCACTCGAGCACACCATCTGCATCCCCGAGATGAGGCTGGATGAGTCTATCTGTGCCTCTGACGTGCCCCCCACCAGCGCCAGCGAGGGGCAGCCAAGCCAGGTGTGACGCCGTCAGAGCCGGTATGGGAGCCAAACCCGATTATTGGATTTGCGTCGACTCGAAAAAAGTACGAGCCTGACGCTGCGAGGTCAGCCACCCCCCAGCCCTCGCTCCGTCCCCTCATCATATGCCAGCGTGTAGGCAACCCACCACCTCCTCGTCTGGTACAGTAGGCAATCGGCTGGCCTTGACCCGCCCGCTCGGTGGCTGGCCCTGCTCGATGGCCGGTGGCTGGTCTGGATCAACGGCAAAGAGAGGTGTGGCGCTACAGAGGGCGGGCGAGGGTCCAGCGGCCAACCGGCTGTTTTGGCGCTCGCTCTGCCCTTTTTTCGACTTTTTTGGCGCCCCCCCCCTGCGTCTGGCTTGGCTGGCTGGCTCCCTCCCGCCTGAGGGCGCTGGCAACGGGCCATCTTTGGGCCTCGCCCTCGTCGCCGCCGCCTCTTTTCCTCCTACCACCACCATCCCCCCATCCCCCCACCCCCCCTTCCCTCGTTCCCTCTGCGAGTAGTGTAGCTGCACCAGGCGCATCTGCGACCTTTGACTCCAACAGTCAACAGCCTCACTCTCTAGAACCAACCCAGCCCAACTCGTCCAAACCAGCCATTCCTACCCTGCCCGCCCGCTCGTCTCGCTCGTCCCGGTCCAGCCCAACTCAGCCCAGTCCCAGCCACAGCCTCAGCCTCAGCCTCTCTCCCACCAACTCACACCGAGCTCTTCTGCCCGCTCGCCCGCCCGCCCGCCCGCCCGTCATGCGTCCCCAGGCCGTGCTCCCCGACGCCCTCTGTGCCGTCGGCGACACCCCCCTCATCCGCCTCAACCGCATCCCCGCAGCAGAGGGCATCCGCTGCAACGTCATGGCCAAGTGCGAATACTTCAACGCCGGCGGAAGCGTAAAGGACCGCATCGCCCGCCGCATGCTCCTCTCGGCGGAGCAAAACGGCACCCTCATCCCCGGCAAGTCGATCGTCGTCGAGCCCACCAGCGGCAACACGGGCATCGGCCTCGCCCTCGCCTGCGCCATCCGCGGCTACCGCTGCATCATTGTCCTCCCCGAGAAGATGTCGGCCGAAAAGGTCAACACGCTCCGCGCCCTCGGCGCAGAGGTCATCCGCACCCCCACAGAGGCCGCCCACGACGACCCGCGCTCCAACATCATGGTCGCACGCAGGCTCGCCGAAAAGCTCCCCGACGCCGTCATCCTCGACCAGTACAACAACCCAAACAACCCCATGGCCCACTGGGGCACCGCAGAGGAGATCATCGAGGCCATCGTCGCAGGATACGCGCCCCCCGCAGAGGCCTCGCTCGCCACCGGCATGGGCGCCGCCCCCAACAAGGACGTCCACGCTCCCGCCGGCGCCCGCCCACTCACGCCCGACTCGAGCCAGGGGGCCGCGTCGCCCGAGCAGCGCCCCGTCGACCTCGCCACCAGCGCCATGGCCGCCCACTCGCTCGCGTCGCCCGCGTCCGCGTCGTCGTCGGGCCTGGTCGACGTGCTCGTGTGCGGCGTCGGCACCGGCGGCACCGTCAGCGGCATCGCCTCGCGCCTCAAGCGCGCCGACCACAACCCGGGCTGCTTTGTCCTCGGCGTCGACCCCGTCGGCTCGGACCTGGCGCTGCCCGCGTCGCTCAACCAGCTGCCCGAGGGCGCCGACGGCTCGTACAAGGTCGAGGGCATCGGCTACGACTTTGACCCCAACACGCTCGACAAGACCATGATCGACGAGTGGTACAAGACGGTCGACGACGTCAGCTTCGCCTACGCCCGCCGCCTCATTGGCGAAGAGGGACTCCTGGCCGGCGGCAGCTCGGGCGCCGCCGTCGGTGCCGCCATCAGCTGGCTCAAGCCCGGCGGCGCCGGCTACGAGCGCTTCGGCAGCAAGGAGGGCCTCAACGTCGTCGTCGTCCTACCCGACAGCCTGCGCAACTACATCACCAAGCCTTGGCTCTCGGTCGATGCCAAGCCCGAGCTGCGCGAGTCCGAGATCGACTTTGACAGCTTCCAGTGAGCGGCTTGGTGCGCGGCGTGCGGCCGCCCTCGAGAGCGGCTCGAGGGCGCCCAGCTAGACGACGGACGAGAGCGCGTGAAGCCACGATAGAAGAACAACGCGCCGGGAGCCGAGCAAGAATTTGGCGGGAAGAGGGAGGATCCATGTCGGTCGTTCAACATCGCCCGACGATCCTCTCCAGCCCCGCTGCCACTGTCGCCAGGGATAGAAGATGGCCTTCTTTCCTGGCCCTCGTCTTGCTCGCTCCGCGGTCACTGCCACCACGCATCCCACGGCACCAACATACATGGCTTCACGGCTCTCTCCCTCTCGTTTGGTCGCTGGTCCCCCCCCCCCCCCCCCCCCGCTCGACATCGACATCCGCACGCCGCCACCTGGGCGCCGAGATTTCGGCAGGACCCGACTTTTCTCGCATCGCCCCGCCCGCCCCGTTCCGTTTCTATCCGTCCCGTCCCGCGCTCCCCTTTCTCAAGTCACGAACCAAACCAGTCACGATCCAGGGTAGCGATTCAACCCACCAGAAGATTCAAGGCGAACGTTTCCCCCCCCTTTCTTGCACCCCACCAGACCTGCAATGATTCCCCCTCGCCCCCTTTTTCGAGCGACGAGATGGGAGATGGAGAGGCAGCGGGGGGTCGGACCCCTGCCTCTTGCAATACCCACGCTATGCTCCTTCTATCTCGTCGCCGCCCCGCTTTTTCCCCCCTCATCCCGTCAACCCCCGCCGTCTTTAATCATCGACATTCATACCACGGTCGTCGGTCGTCTACCGACGGCGACCTCCCCGCCACCCTGTTCTCAGCATCACCTCTTCGCATCCCCTCCTCTCTCTCTCTCTCTCTCTAGCCACCGTGCGCGTTCGCATTGCATCTCTACAACTCCGACTTGTTGTACACTACCCCTGCATCATCCTCCCCGGGTCTCCCGTACCCCATCCCAATCCCAGTCCATCTCGTCCAGTCCCTTCTTCTTTCTCATTCCTGGTTCTGATGAGTAGAGCCTGTGTCGCGTGTCTGGAGGGCGAGGTCGGCAGGTTCTTATTCCTAGCTCCAACGTAAGAGAGAGCAAGGGCGAACGGGATGGAGGCCCAATTCGGATCGACGGCCTGGCCAGGCCTGTTCTGGCCGGGCAGACGGGGTCCCGACGACGGGCGCGTTTGACGTCCCGTTTTTCGTGCACCGCCCTAACTAGGCTGGCCTGCCCCCCGGTCCGCGCCCTCTTCTTGACAGGGCCAGGTCATGCAACGAACGCAGCGTCGACGGATTTCCTCTGACCTGCCTGCCTGGCTTTTGCTTTGTCTGGCGCTGTGGAAACCGCGCCGCTTGCTGTACGTGCCATACGGGGCAGGGGACACTGTACGAAACACCGACGACGACGACGAGGGGTACTCGACTTGACGGGACGGGGTGGTGAGGGTGCGCGCGGGCACGGGGCGGACCATTTGAGCTCACCCTGGCAGGCTGGCAGGCAGGCAGGCAGGCAGGCGGCGCACGCCTCGCTTCGGTTGTCCGGCAGACGGCGGGGGCGCGCAGGTGTTGTTCTCCGCCGCACCGCCGCACCGCCTGACCTGCTGGTCTTGGCCCCCTTGGCTTTGGGCTTGCTCCTTTGGGCTTGCGCCTGGAGCTTGGACCGCCTCCAGGGGTTGAGTGGGTGGGCGCAGGCCTGGCCAAACCTCCCTCCCCGCCTTTTTCAGACGCACCACACTGTCCCTCCTACTGCTCCTGACCACCACCACCGCCAGCACGAATCAACGCCACTTCCTCCCTCCATCGACGTCGACACCACCACCACCACCCGTCCATCCACCGGCACCAACGAAAGAAAATGCGCACCACATTCCCGCTCGTCGTCGTCGCAGCCCTGAGCCTGGGCCTGGGGCTGGTGCAGGCGCAGTCGTGTCCTCAATCGACGCAGGACCAGATCCAGACCTGCCTCGACACGGTCATCGCCGACGAGGGCAAGGCGCCCTGCTCGTCGTCCGACTGGCCCTGCATCTGCAACGTCCAGCAGGGCAAGGTCGCCTGCTACACGCCCTGCCCCGAACTCGAAGACTACGACGACATCCGCTTCAACAACGAAAACTGCAACGGCCAACACGGCTACACCAACGCCATCGCCGCCGGCGGTAATGGCGGAGAGGGCTACAAGGGTAGTGCCCTCACCACCACCATCCCCCAGGGCGCCGGGAGCGGCGGTCAGACTCCCACCGCTTCCGCCCCGGCTTCGGCTTCGAGGTTCGTATCCCCCTCCCCTTTTTCCCCCTCGATACAGCTAGGAAAGGTGTGGAATGCCAGGGATCAAAGCAACAGGCGACTGACCCCTCCTCCCTCTTTCTCCTACCAAATCCCACCCCGGGACCACAACAGCACCGCCACCGCATCCAGCACTTCCTCCTCGGCCGCCCCCTCCTCGTCCTCGTCCTCGGGCTCCTCGTCGGCCGGCCCCTCCTCCTCGTCCGGCTCACCTTCAAGCAGCGCCGCCACACGCGCCCCCTCATCCACCACCTCTTCCGCCGCACCCGCCAACGCCGCGACGGCATCGACGAGCCTCAACCTGCCCGTCTCGCTCGGCCTCTCGCTCCTCTCGGCCCTCGTCGTCGGCGGCGCAGGCGCATTCGTCGCTGCCGGTCTCTTTTAGAACAGCCCCTCGCTGCAGCTGCGGCGGCGGCACGTAATGGACCTTTTCGACTCCCTCTCCCCCCCCCCTTCTCTCCTCTTTCCCGCTTCGACTCGACGGTGAATGCCGCCCTCCCTTTTTCTGGGCTCAGCCTGCTATCCCGTTGTGACGAATTGACCCGACCCGAGCCCGACGCCGCTTCATGAATCGATCAGTGGATTCGTGACGAGACACATGCCTGTGCAGACAGAGCGTGCCGCTTGCACATCCAATCCCCGAGCGAGAATGTACCTCGACCAGACGAGACGGGATACGGTTGGTATTCACAAGGGCGGGCGGCGGGCGGAGCGCATCTGTCTGTCTGTCTGGCTGGCTGGCTGGCGGGCGAGATGAGAACGACGAGACGCCACGCCACGCCGCGGCGCGACGGGAATCAGAGGGGCGGGATAAAGTCCGAGATGCGATCTGGATAGCGATCGACCCACGACGGCGACGAGGAGAGAGGGCGGGAAAGAGGGTCAATACGATGGTCGACCAGGGCAAAGGCGGGCTGAGGGAGGGAGCGACGAACTGACCTCTGGCGTTTTGCGCGATGCACTCTGCGATCCAGGTAATGGAGCGGATCTCCTGCTCCTTTAGCTTGAGCCAGGCGTAAAAGATGCCGAACTGGAACTGGGTGATGGTGAGGATCCGGTTGACTGGTCGTCGTTTGGGTTCAGATTCAGCAGCGCGGAGGGGAGGAGGGGGAGGGGGAGGAGAGATGTTGGTCAGCCACCGGCACGAACACGACAGCACATAAGGAAATGAAAGGAAAGGAGAGGGGGGGCCCGCGACGACGCACGCTGCACCTCGAGCTTAAACATTTTGTCCTCGAGCATGTCGGCGCTGGCCTCTGCGCCGCCGCCAGCCATGGCCGAGGAGCCCTCAAAGAAGCCGCGGTACTGTGGGATCTGGTCGCACACGTTTTTGACCTGTTCGAGCTCGTCGGCCTTTGCGAGGACGTTGTTGCCGGCGGGGAAGAGGCGGCCGATGGTGGGGAAGAGGCGTGCGCGCTCCTCTTTGGAGAGCGAGGTGCCGAAGCTGTTGATGGTGATGTTGATGGTGCGGCGGTCGGCCTCGAAGCTGAGCAGCTCGCCCATGGTGTGTGCGGTCGTGCCGCCGAGGGACTGGCAGAAGGCGTGGAAGTCCTCGAGGTAGGCCTTGTAGAGCGTGTTTCGGATGATTTCAATGTTGAGGTCGTCGAGGTCCGAGGCGCTGAGGCAGTCGCGGAAGTAGGGGGCGAGGGGGGTTTCGACGAGGACCGAGTGGTAGAGCTCGGACACGGTCGAGGCGACGCAGAGGGCGGGGAGGGTGTCAAAGACGCCGAGCGGGTGGCAGCGCGCGAGGAGGTCGTGGGTGTCGCGGTCGTGGAGGGTGCCCGTGATGAGGAGGATGACGTTGTCGATCATGTAGGCGTAGGTCATGTAGTCGAGGAAGCGGTTGAGCGGGTAGGCGGCGTTGGTGCGCAGGTACTCGAACTCGGCGACGAGCTTGCGCGTCGCCTTGTCGGCAATCGTCGAGGTCGAGAGCGGGCTGGGCTCGTTCTGGAGAAAGTTGCCGTAGTCGGTGGCCTGCAGCTGCATCTTGAAGTCGTCGAGCGTCTCGCACTGCGTGAGCGACTGGTAGTGGTGCGACTGGAGCAGCGAGGAGCGGTAGCCCCGCACCACTCCCTCGAGGTAGCCCGTGTCGATGTTGAACGAAATCATCTCCATCCTGGGCGGCGGGTGGCGGGCGGGGGAGATGTGGGAGAGGGGTGAGATCGAGAAGCGGCGGGCAGAGAGTGACGAAGAAGATAAGAGGGTGCTGGTGCTGGTGCTGGTTGGCAGGGTCGTGCTGGTGGTGATGGTGGCGAGGAAGGCAGGCAGGCAGTTGCGATGGCCGTGGCTGTCTGGCTGGCGGGCGGGCGGGCGTAGGCTGCAGGCGGGGAAACGGGTGCGGGTGCTTGGCCCCAGCGCAGCGCAGCGCAGGCCGGACGCTTCACTTCGCCCCTGCAGCCCTGCCAGCCCAGCCAGCCTCGCTCGCC